TGAACCTGGTCTCTAATTTCCCCAGGTCTCTTCTATAAAATGTGCCCCACATATGTGCCAGGCACAGTGTGCAGGTGCATACTGTGATGAAGTGACTACCCGCCCTCTGTGTGAGTGGCTAATACAGCTGCAGGTCTGCAGGGCCAGCAGAGGTACTGAGCAACGCTGGTGTCCCCAGACTTCTCAAAGGGGCCCCTTGGGGGCTCAGGGCCGGGGGAAGACCCAGCATGCTGCTGACACTCATCAATCCAGGTCACAAAAATTGATTGTGCCTGATTCTAGGCCAGGCACTGTGACAAATCCCAGCTATGTGGGGATGAGCACAGAAGGCCTGGCCCTGCCTTCCTGGCCTGTGTCTAGGGAGAGACTGACAGCAAATGAGCCCACAGATATTGACTCAACCCTGAGCGTGGGCTGTGGAGCAGCAGTTAGAGGATCCAGTAGTGTCTAATACGGGGGGTGCCTGGCCAGCGTGAGGGGTCCAGGCAGATGTCCCCAGGGTGGTGGCACCAGAGCTGAGGGATGAACAGCTACTAACTAGGAGGATGCTTCCTCTGGCAGGAGGCCCTGAGATGGGAAGGGTAGGGCCTGAGAGAGGAGCTGAGAAGCCTGGTGGGTCTAGAGCCCGGGGAGCGCATGTGCACATCTGTACACATGAGTGTGCATGTGTGGGGGTCCAGCCTTTGGCTGCATCTGGCTGTAAGGGCAATAGGGAGTCACTGTGGTTTGAAGAGAGTTGGAGCTACAATCAGATTTGTGTTTTTAAAGATACCTGGTGCTTCTGGGAGGAAAACAGACTGTAGGAGGCCACAGTAGGGGCAAAGGAGAAAGGGGGCCGCCTTGAGGCCAGAAGGTGGGTCAGGGATGGTGCTGGCTGCCTGGGGCGTGGAGTACCCATCGCTGCAGATCTACCCCCTTCACCGCTCATGGCCAGTGTTTACAGCATGTGCCCTGCAAACGTTTGTTTGGTAGGTGACAGTGGGACTGCAGCAGCGGTACAGGATGCTGGGGAAAGAGCCCCCTTCAGACTCGATATGGGGGCTGAGTTCCAGCTTGGGCCTGCCCATGTCTTCTGGGTCTCTACATTTAAGAGGACAAGGATGGGGTGTGACAGGGGCCATGGAGGTGGGCAGCTCCCCGGGTTTGCTGCCTGGGCAGTTGCACTGCACCTCCTCTCAGCAGGGCCCCAAGCGCAGGTCATCCACCGTCACTGTGCTGAGTAAAGAGTTCCTGTGTTCTCATCTGCACTGATCCATGGGTTCTGTAGCCATCCTGCCGGGAAGACCACTGGGGCCAGCAAGAAGGTACCAGGAAGGCCGTGGGGGGCTCCATGCCTGTCCCTCAGCCATGCCAAGATGGACGAATAGCACACCCGGGGATTGGAAAGAAAGGGCTGTGACAATAGGATCAATGTCTGAGACTTAGCAGGCAGGAACAGGAACTTATTGCAAACCCTGTATTCCAGACAGATCTTTGATGGAGCCCTGTGTGCCAGTGCATTGCTCTGTGTGTGTGTGTGTGTGTGTGTCATGGGGTAGGGCCCTTGTCATCCCATCACCAGATATGGAAATGGTTCAGTGTATGTAGGGTTGGTGTCTAGATGAGAACCACAACAGGACATCTAACAGAGGAGGCAGAACTATGTGGAATCTTCATTCAGAGAGGGAGGGAATAATCTGAAAACGCAAATGAAGTTAAAAAGGCCAGCAGGTCTGTTCCAGGCACATCTTAAGTGCTGAAGCCACATTCGGACTATCTCCAGAAGTTTCTACTTACTGCTGTTGACTGCAGCAAGTACTTAGTGACCACAGACCTGGCAGGCAGAGGTGGCTGGGGCTGTGTAGGGCTTCCTGATGAGAAGCTGGGGCACAAGAGTTGGAGAATTGATCACTAAATGAGTTGCTGGGGCTGAGGCTGGCTCCCAGCTGCCCAGGGGCCCCTGAGGCCTTAGCCCTGACCATGGGGAGCCCCCTGTGGGCCTTGTGATGATTTTTAAACCTTCTCCCTTGACCTCCTTGGCTCTGATACCCCTGTGAGATGCTTCCATAGGCCAGCTCAGGAGAATTGTCACCTGTCTGCCACTGATCTGGGCATTTCAGGACTGGGAAAAGAAAGGACTCCCCAAGGTTGGGGTCAGAGAGGGGGCTGTTGTGGTGCTAAGTGAAAGGGGCCAAAGCAGGAGCAAAGTTCCTTTTGTAAGTTTGCTTTTAGCCTTTAGGAAAAAACGAAAGAAAGAAAAACTCTCTCAAGCAAGTGAAAACACTTCCAAGAGAACAAGGCTGGAGAGCCTTGTTCACCCGTTGCAGCAAGGGTCAGAATTTCCTTTTTTTTTTTTTGAGACAGAGCCGGTTCTGGTTCCTGAACCAGAGACTGGGCCAGCCTGATGGGCAAAAGCACCGGCTCAGGGGAGATTCGGGCTCCCATCCACGCAGGGATGGAATCCCCAGGCTCACGCCTGTCATTCTTCTGTTCCCATGTCTCAGGGACTGCCCGGGCTGCTGCCAGGTCCCTTCCTAGCTGGGTGTGTTGGGGGAAGGAGGCAGGCAGGGAGGACCTGCTAGGCAGGTGACATTCTAATTTGTGAGCTTTTCAATGAAATGAACAGAAAAATAAGCAAAATCGTGCTGCTAATCATTCCTCCTTGATGGCCCCAATTTTATGAACTACTGATGTGAAACGATGCATTTCAGTAGAGGAATGCATGTTTTATTACAATAAAACAAAATTTATACCATAACGTTCAGCATCACAACCGTTTGTAAGTGCACAGTTGAGCAGTATTAGCCATATCACACTGCTGTGTGACCATCACCCCTGTCCATCTTCGGGACTTTCTCATCTTTCCAAACTCTATCCCGGTTAAGCATTCGCCCCCACCTGGCTCCCCTGCCCCCGTGACCTCCATTCTCCTTCGTGTCTGTGAATTTGACTCGTGGAATCACGTGGTGGTTGTCTTCTCGTGTTTTGCTTAATTCATGTAGCATAATGTCCTCAAGGTTCACCCGCGTTGCAGCAAGGGTCAGAATTTCCTTTTTTTTTGAGACATAGTTTCACTATGTCGTGCTTGATAGAGTGCTGTGGCATCACAGCTCAGCGATTCTCTTGCTTCAGCCTCCCAAGCAGCTGGGACTACAGGCTCCTGCCACAATGCCCGGCTATTTTTTTGTTGTAGTTGTCATTGTTGTCTAGCAGGCCCAGGCTGGGTTTGAACCTGCCAGTCCTGGTGTATGTGGCTGGCGCCCTAACCACTGAACTACAGGTGCTGAGCCAGAATTTCCTTCTTTTTAAAGGCTGAGTAATACTCCATTGCATGGACAACATGTGCCATGAACAAGAATGCGTTTTTAAAAGAAGTGAGTTTCTGGAAAGCACCCCCCACCCCCGCATGTGGGAGTGCAGGAGGCGCTGGGCTCAGGGTGTCCTGACCTTCGGTGTTGCAGGTACCCAGGTGCAGTCAGGTGCCAGGTGCTACTACTTAGCCAGCTGTCCTTGGGAAACAGCCGCCAGCCCCCTTTCTCTCTCACAGGGCAGAGACAATTTTCTGTGAGTCTGTAATGCTAAGGGGCTGCAGCCAGGGGTGGGCTACCCAGATGACAGCACGCCCACATCTGAACCAGAGTGTTGGATCTGGACGTCTCCAGTGCAACTTGGGACAGGCTGGCTGGCCCTGTCTGTCTGAGGGTTATTATTACAATAGCAATGATGAGACTAATGCTGACAGCCACCAATTACAGGCATTTACTTTGTGCCTTGTTCTGGGCTAGAGAGACCTTACTCAAAGTTGATACAGTGACCAGGGGGTGTGTCAGGAGTCTGGGATCCAGTGGGAGTGAGGTATTGCCCAGGGTTTCATGCCAGCAAGGGGTTGGGCTGAGGCTAACGGCTCCCACCCCTGGGAAGGCTAAGGTCCTGGGCCCCCACAGGTGAAAGCAAGTTGGGCTGACTCTGGCCAGGTGTGGTCTCTACTTGGACCAGCCCTTGAAGTTGGAAGCTCAGGTTACCCCCACCCAGCTGCTGCAGAAAAACCCTCTGTAGACCAGCCTGGGAGCACCCCACATCTGGCTCCAGGGAGCCCTGGTCGTTTTTCGTTGGCTTTAGTGTTCCAGAAAAGGGGGCTGTCTAGGTGGGAGCAATTCTAACATAAACAGAAAGGAGGGTGGATGCACCCTGACCCTGGGAGCTCCCGGTGCTTGCTTTGGTCTGGGCAAGGGCTGGGGAGTCCAGCCCCCCTCCCTGTGTGGTGGAGGGATACAAGGATGAGGGGCTAAATCACCCCCCTTCTTTGGGTGAGGTCACAGAAGCCAAGAGAGGGCATTGGGCATATGCCCAATGTTATGGGCTGGTCAGGAGAGGGGCTGGGAATCATCCCCAAATGGGTTGACCCCATGGCCACTGGGCTCTGAAGCCTCTTTCAGCCCCTAAAGCTGGAGAAGGAAACTCCCTTTCTAGGGCCAGGGCCACTGGGCCACCCTGTGTTCCCATTTGGACCCATCCTGACACACCATGTGGCTGGGGCCCTTGAGAGCCTACAGCCACCACCTTAACCAAGAGTACAGGGGTGCACCAGTGCTGGGACACAGGTATATGTCAGGTCCATTCCTGTCAACCAGTCTAGGCCCATTTGCATGACAAGTCCCCCTCAAGGGCAGAGGTGACTGGGACTGTCCCAGGTCCCAGTTGGGATCCAGTCCTGGTCTAAAATGATTCTGGGGCTAAGGAGGGAGCTCTGGTCCTTGCGGGGAGTCTGACTTAGGATGGTGCTGTGAGCAGCATGGCTTTGGATGGTGCCATGTCTTGGGGAGCACCTGGCTCATCCAACCTGATACTAGATGTCTGTCTGAGCTTCCCCAGAAGGTAAGTGCCACCAGCAAAGGGGACTGGCTCTGCCGTATTCATTCTGTCCTTGGGCCCAGGACCATCCCCAGCCCTGGCCTGCCACTGGGAAGCAGAAAGCGCTTGTTGAGTGACCGAGTGAGTGAACTGGCTTTCCTTGTGCCCAGGTCCAGCTGGGAACTCCCCGACCTCCAAGAGGGCAAGATCCAGGCCATCAGTGACTCGGACGGGGTAAACTACCCCTGGTATGGCAACACCACGGAGACGTGCACCATTGTGGGCCCCACCAAGAAAGACTCCAAGTTCATCATCAGCATGAATGACAACTTTTATCCTAGTGTCACGTGGGCCGTGCCAGTCAGCGAGAGTAACGTGGCCAAACTGACCAACATCTACCGGGACCAGAGCTTCATCACATGGCTGGTGGCCACCAACACCTCGACCAATGACATGATCGTGCTACAGACACTGCACTGGCGCATGCAACTCAGCATCGACGTGAACCCCCACCGGCCCCTGGGCCAGCGTGCCCGACTGCGGGAGCCCATCACCCAGGACCAGCCCAAAATCCTCAGCAAGAACGAGCCCATCCCGCCCAGCGCCCTGGTCAAGCCCAATGCCAATGACGCCCAGGTCCTCATGTGGCGGCCCAAGTACGGGCAGCCGCTGGTGGTGATCCCACCCAAACATCGGTAACGTCCAGGGCAACCCGCTAGATTAGACTCAAATAATAATACTGCTCAGTGCAAAACCCAAGCGCACTCTTCAGTCATTCAGCAAAATACAACATTCTACCTTCTCAGCGGGCGGATCTCACTGTGCTCGTGCCCCCGGCTGGCCAACTCGTGCTCAGGGGGAGACCCACGCGGGACAGACAGACCCCACGCGCGCCCTCCTGGGCCACCTCTGGTCCCCCTTCCTTTCCTGTTCTCACAGATTTCCCCGAGACACTGCTATTCCTGTTCTTGTTTTTCAAGTTCTCTTTACGAGGTTCAGGGCAGGAGGACGGAGAGCTGGTCACGAGGGACGCACAGGCTTCAGGCCAGGCTGTGGTCTGCACCGTGGGCATTCGTCGCCTGGCTGGCCTCCCACGCTGCTCCCCCTGCCCTCTGTCATGCGGCCTTACCTTTCGTAGACTTGCTTTGCCAAACTTTTGCCTTAAGCTGAATTCAAAGGAAGAACGAGAAACATAAAGAAAGCAGAATCTCCTCTGCTGGGCTTTTGATCCGCTGCAGGTGGAGGGAGGGGGTGGGGTGGGTTGGGTGTGTGCACCTGAGTCCCTCATCCTGGTTGTCTTGGGAGAAGGGCGAGGACGGAGATTTAGACCTAAGACCAGCTGCTCACTCTTCATTTAGGCAGAAACAAAACCACCAACAAACTCTGCCCAATAGCCCCTTCTCTCTCCCACCCCCCTAGAATTCCCCTACCTGTGGATAGGGGCTGTAAGACCCCGCAGGGTGAGTCCACCAGTGGCGCCCTCTTTTTTCTTTTCTTGGCAGCCTTAACTTGCCTTGGGTGGCTCTAGGAGGAGAGAGGAAGGTCCTGTGAGCTCTGGTTGGGCCCAGGAGATAGTCATTCTCTCTGTCCTTGGGACCCACCCATGGGTAGGTCCTCACACCATTCCCTAAGTGTGTCTTCCATCCACACTGGTTTCTAATGCCCAGGGGGCAGCCACCTGGGCCACTGAGACAGTCCCAGTTTAGTCTCAAAGATAAGAAAGGCATGTGTGTCCCTTCTTGCACATTTTAAGACTTGAACCTGGTGGCCCCAGCACCGTGGTTGGCCATCCCCTAGTGCACTGCAAAGGAGCCAAGACAGGGCTCATTCTCAGGGGCTGCTGCTCCCAGGCTCTCCCGGGTCGGCTGGGGGCTGCAGACAGACTCTCAGAAGCAGTGATGGAGGCCAAGGACAGCTGCAGAGGGCCCAGAGACTGAGGCGTCCCTGGCCTGGGAAGTCTAGAGAGACAATGAACCCACTTTCTGCTTTGTGTCCTTGAAGTAAACATAGACCCAGGGCTGGGAGGGTTGAGTGGGCCTTGATGGGAAATGTCAGAGCCATTCTGGAGACTGGTCTGGCACAGTGACAGCATCAGGAGAGGACAGGTATCAGGTGACCAGTCCCTGGGGCCCACCCTCCTGCCCTTGGCCCTGAGCAATGTCTGCCTCAAGGCTGCTCACGGCTCTGTTCGGGGCCACCCAGCTGCCAGCTTGCCAAACCCATGGCCCCATCCCTGGGGCCATGCTCAGACTAATAATCCTCAAGCACAGAATACCATCGGATGAGAAAAATACCCATTTCTGCTGCAGGTGAGCCACTTGGAGTCTCAGTGACAGTGTGGGAGGGCGTGGGCACCCTTGCTCGCTCCTGCACCCGCATGTTGTATTTATTCAAGGGGTGCACAGAGTCTGGTCAGTCTCTGAGCCCAGCGCCTGCCGGGAGACCAGCTGGCGCTATGCTTAGGGAGCCCTTGGTGGGGGCTGGGATCTCCCCCTAGAAACTGCAAGTTCCCCTCTGTGAGGATGAAGTTCCCCAGCAGCCTTGCGTGGGGAAACCGGGGGTCCTAGGTGCACCTGTGAAGGCAGGTTGGGGCCCAGCCTGGGTCCCTCCATACTCAGGTCTTTTGTTGCACTAAGAGGAGCCGGCGCCCTGCCAGGGGCCAGGAAGGGGGCTCCCATGCTGGGCTGGGGTGGACAGGCAGGGGCCCAGAACTGCTCTGGAGCCAAGGTGCCCTGAACTTACATTTGTTGAGTGTGAACAAACATTTGAAGCAGAGGCCAGTGCCCACCCCCACCCCGCATGCTGGGCCCCCAGCCCACCTTGCCCCCTGGCCGACCTCCACCCTGAGATGGGGGAGAGCCTGCAGAGGCTGCAGGTCCAGCCAAGGATGCACAGCTCTGCTTGGGTCTAGTCCCTCAGCCTCTGTCCTCATGTGGGGCACAGACCCCAGCCTCCTACCCAGCCCCGACTCTGACGCTACCATTCCCAGCCCCCTCCCTGCCTCCACCCCATAGAGGACACTCACTCACTCCTTCCAGCAATAAGAGCCGTCCTTGGTTGCGGAGAGTACTGTGAAAACAAACCAATGCACTTACCAGGAGGCACAAGACTCTTGAAGAAAATGTAACATGAATCTTTTTTAAAGAAAAAAACACAAATATTCATAAAGAAATAAAGTATAATTTTAAAGTAGGCTTGGCTGGAATCTGGATGTTTCTGAAATGGCAGTTCATTCTGGGGTTGCTGACTGGGTATGGCTAGCCACAAGGGTAGGCATTTTGCGGGGTGAAGAGGAGGGGCTGAGGCTGGGATTCAGTGCTTGGGCCTGGGACACAGGAGGGGCAGGCCAGCCTTGAGTGCCCCATGCTTTTCACCTGCTTCTGGCCACAGCCCCATCTCCAGCCAGAGCAGCTGAGGATCTGATCCCTGCACCTACAAGTGCCCTGGTCTGGAGGTCGAGCTGGGAGTTGGGGCAGCTCAACTTCATGGCAAACGCTGGAGACTCCATGACAGCAGTGATTAGTGTTTAGACTGGGCCCTGCCCTGGGTTGTCCTGCAGACCTGCAAACCCACCTTCCCTTGGGAAACAGGACAATGATAGTCTGGACCCTGCCCCTGTCCAGCAACTGTTGAGGGAGTCATGGGGGCCAGAGGACTGGCTCCTTATACTCAGGATTTTCTTTTCTTTTTTTTTTTGAGACAGAGTCTCATTATGTCACCCTCAGTAGAGTGCTATGGTTTCACAGCTAACAGCAACTTCCAATTCTGGGGCTTAAGCGCTTCTCTTGCCTCAGCCTCCCAAGTAGCTGGGACTACAGGTGCCTGCCACAACACCCAACTACTTTTTTGTTGCAGTTGTCATTATTGTTTAGCTGGCCTGGGCCAGGTTTGAACCCACCAGCCTGAGTGTATGGCCGGCGCCCTACCCACTGAACTACAGGGGCTACCAGGGATTTCCTTTTGTTTCTTTCAGTCGCCCTGGGGTTGCGGGCCATGGTGTTATAGCTCACTGCAACCACAAACTCTTGGGCTCAGCCTCCTGAGTAGCTGGGACTACCGGCGCCCACCACAATGCCGGGCTATTTTTAGAGACTGGGTCTCACTCTAACTCAGGCTGGTCTCAAATTCCTGAGCTTAGGCAATCTGCCTGCCTCGGCCTTCCAGAGTGCTGGGATTACAGGTGTAAGCCACCGTGTCTGGCCTTTACTCAAAACTTATGTAAAGGGCGGCACCTGTGGTTCAAGGAGTAGGGCGCCAGCCCCATATGCCGGAGGTGGTGGGTTCAGACCCAGCCCTGGCCAAAAACTGCAAAGAAAAAAAAAAATCTTATATAAAGAGGAGAGGGAGCCCTGTGGGTCTTGGGGGGTGGGTGCTGAGGGTCAGGGAGCCCTGTGGGTGGGAGGGCAGACCATGGTCAAGGCCATTTGCATGAGCTCAGGAAAGACACTGGTTCCCTGAGCCCTACTCACCTTTTACGGACAGTGGGGCTTCCTGGAGTAGCTGCCTCCTGGCTGATATGGTGTGAACACACTGCCCTACTCTGTTTCTGGGTGTGAACACACTGAATCCTCATGACTACCCCCAAGGGAGGTGTTACTTCGATCCCCATTTCACAGATGAGGAAATGGGGAGTGGAAGAAGCTGCTTAAGGTCACATTTTTTTGTTGTTGCAATTTGGCTGGGCCCTGCCCTGGGTGGTTGGGTACGAACCCACCACCTCTGGTATATGAGACCAGCACCCTACCCTTTGAGCCACAGGCACCACCCAAGGCCACATATTTAGGAGGAGGCAGAGCAGGATTCAAACCCTGACCCCCAAACTCCCTTCTTAGCAGTGCCCAGTAAGTATGAAGAAGGCCCTGTGGCCATGCACGGTGGCTCACACCTATAGTTCCAGCTGCTCAGGAGGCCAAGGTGGGAGCTCAAGAGTTAGAGACTAGTCTGAGCAAGAGTAAGCTCAATCCCTTGAGCTCAAGAGTTACAGACTAGTCTGAGCAAGAGTAAGACCCTATCTGTATAAAAAATAGAAATAACTAGCTGGGCATGGTAGCACATGCCTGTAGTCCCAACTACTTGGGAAGCTGAGGCAGGCGGATTGAGTCCCGGAGTTCGAGGTTACAGTGAGCTATGATGACACCACTGCACTCTAGCCTGGGTAATAAAGTAAGCCCCTGTCTCAAAAACAAACAAACAACAACAAAAACCCAAACACCAAGAAAGCCCTGTGTCTACCCTGGCAGAAATGCCTCTCTTCCCAGCTCTGGAAGTCCCTGTGGTCCACAGTTCTCTGTGGCTCACACGAGCCCATCTCATTGCCCTGAGGAGGAGCTGACTGGTCCTCAGGCCCACCCTCCAGGGTGGGCGCTGGCCTCTCTGCATTATGGTGGGGACAAGGTGCCCCCCCACTCGCTCTGGGCACAGGAACTTGGTTTCTTCTCTGGATTCCCCATGTTGCAGCAACCCAACGGCTGCTGCCTCCCGCCTCCCTCCTCCTAGGCCTGAGACACCAAAGCAGGAAGTTGCATAAGAGGCTTCGCGGGCTGCACTCCCCCAGATGGCTGCGGGGTGGTACAGTTCACATGGTGGTTTGGCTTTTGGTTGTCAAGTCAGCTCCTGAGCTCTGCCCACAAGAGACCATAGTGAGCACGCGTGGTGTGTTTGTGTGTGTGTGTGTGCGCGTACGTGTATGCACGCGGGGTGTGTGTGTGTGTGTGTGCATGCAAAAAGAATAGTGGTGCAGGCCTGA